GACAAACAAAGTATATTTGAACTGCTGTATGGAAAGTGAATTTGCTCTGTAAATTTTCACCCAAATCACTATTTTAAAAAAAAAAGCAAGAATGGTCAGACTTCATCTCTTGTACTTTGGTCATGTCAGAAGGGACTAACCCCTGGAAAAGGATCTCATGCTAGGTAAAACAAAGGGTCAGCCAAAAAGGGGAAGACACTCAATGAGGAGGACTGACAGTGGCTGTGGCAATGGGCTCCAGCATGGCAATGACTGAGAGGCTGGCACAGGACTGGGCACTGTTTCATCCTGCTGTACAGAGAGTCACTATGAGTCAGAATCGACTCATTGGCAACTAACAGCAATAACAAATAATGCTGCAGGCAGACGTTCTGTACTAGTTAAACTTTTCTTTGGTTTTAAGAAGACTTCAGGAGATATTTTCGGTTTAAGGTTTAAATATTATCTAAGGCAATAGTTTTAGGGGTTCATCCGGCTTCCATGGCTACAAAAAGTGAGATTCTGTTCTGAATTTTCCCCTCTAACATTGTATTTGAGATCTAACCGCCATTAAATAAGTCTTTCCCCAAATTTCCCTTCAAAATCAAGATTTATCAGAGTATATATAATTCAAAACAAACTTTGTAAAAGTGATCAACCAAACCAAACCAAACTCACAATTGTGACTCACAGTGACCCCCATAGGGTTCGTATGTCTGTAAATGTTTACAGAGCTGCTGATGAATCCAAACCACTGACATTTTGGTTAGAAGCCAAATGTCTTAACTACTGCACCAACCAGAGCTCCTCAAAAGTGATCAAAGTGCTCTATAATTTTTAAGGTCCTTGAGAAGGTTTTCTAAATCATAGATTAGCAATTAGAGAGAAATTGGGGATGATGAGAAAATTCTCAATTTTTTCTTACAAGTATTTGGGATGACACAGTTTTAATTATAGTCAATATCAGCAACATGCAGCAATCATTAACTAGTAAAGCTAGCTAACTAGTGGAAGTTATCCTGGAAGTCAAATTAGATGTGAATTACTCATGAAAACAGTGCATTCTGTTATTATCATAGATCAAAAGCATTTTTTTTACACTTTCACATTCACTTCAGTTGTGCATTTCTTTACTATTAGGCATGGCTGACAACGTTCATGCCACAACTAGCAGCAAAATAAAAACCCAGAGAGCAACACAGTAAACAGAAATTTAAAAACAATGATTCTCACAAAGTCAAAATCTAAATTTTTCCTTGCTGCCCTTTGTAAAAAAAGGACGAAGTTACTGTCGTCCATAGGGAATATACTAAGGTAGCTTTCATTATTCCTTGTTTTATCCAGAATATTCTAAAACAGCAGAACATTTGTTAAGTTTAAATGTGAAGACTGAAGCCAACTGTTAAATTTGGGATCAAACTTAACGAATTTTGTCTAAGAGGCACTGGCCATCAATTAACAGAGAAAATGAGATCAAGTATTATTTTAAATAAATTAATTGCAAATAAAAGTTTATAACTGACCCCTTTTGAATTTGTAAAGGCTGAAGATCTCCGATTGGTAATCCATCTGAGGTAAAGTGCTTAAGCAATTCTTTAGCGTCCAATAATGTCACGGAGTCCCGTGGATCCTCTTTGTGGCCCAGCAACTGTTCAGATGAGCGAGGTAATGACCCAGTTCTGTGGAAACCGATTTATTAAAGGACGATTAGAAGTCACCATAGTCAGCAAAAGATGATGTGAACAGAAACTAGAAAAATACACAAAAGAAAACGGAAACTACACAATTAGGGAAGAAAATAAAATAAAATCTCTATGAATTATTTAGTATTAAAGTACACACACACAAAAAAAAAATCTGTTAAGTCACAGTAAAATCTACAGTTAACTTGTCAACACTACCACTTAAATAAAACAAATGTAATAATATTCTTTATTAATGATAATGAATTATTGAGTAGTATGAAGTTATCAATTCCATAAAATTCAATCTACACTTTCTTGTATGTTCTGAAACCTCACAGTATTGTAAAATTTTGTGGATAGGTACTGACTATCCCAATTTTCTATGAACTTGAAAGATTACTTGAAGCACAACCATGAAATGAGACAATAATTAGAAATATCTCCAAGGTCTCTTCTAGCTATGATTATGACCTTTTGAATTAGCACTGAATCATCACTGTAGTATTTTCAATGTATACAGTACTTTGTACTTTTCAAACTACTTATATATACACTATATTGCTTAATTTTCACAAACAGCTTTGAAAAAGATTTGATGATTTTATTTCAAATATAGCAACATCTAAAGAAAAGTACTTTGTAAAGTGAAAATCAGCATACTAACCCCACCAAAACAGGTATTATTATTCCTATTTATTAGATATTAATATACAGCAGGTTACATTACAGATCCAGAGTGACACAGCTATTTAACATAATAATAACATAACTAGATTCTAGATTTTTTGACTCCAAATAAGGTACCATATCCACTCAGCTATTCTATAAACCAAACGGGTCACAGAAAGTTTCATAAACTGGAAAGGAGAAAAATCTTTTACTTTTGAGAAGGTTAAAGATTTCCTCACACACTGAGTGGCAGATCACCAGTTGCAAAAAACACAACCACTGCCGTGGAGTCGGATCCGACTCATAGCAACCCCTCCTTGGGTTTCCAAGGCAGTATCTCTACGGAAGTAGATTGCCCAACCTTCCTTCCAGGCAGTGGCTGGTGGGTTTGAACTGCCAGCCCTCTGGTTAGCAGTCAAATGCCTTAGGCACTATGCCACCAGAGCTCCCACTGACCAGTATGGCAAAATATAAAACCTTTTTCCACTGCACAAATATTTAATTAATTTCCTGACCTGACATTAATTAGATCATTTCCTGATTATTTTATCACTCCGCCACTCATCCTTCAGTTTGTTGTACTGTGGTGGCTTGCATGATGCTGAAAGCTAAGCAACCAGTATTTCTAATACCAGCAAGGTCACCCATGGTGGACAGGTTTCAGTGGAGCTTTCTGACAAAGACAGACAAGGAAGATGGACTTGGTGACCTACTTCTGAAAAAAGTGGCTAATGAAAACCTTATGGATAGCAGTGTAACGCTGCCTCACATAGTGCCAGAAGATGAGCCCCTCAGATTGGAAGGTGCTCAAAATACGACTACGGAGGAGCTGCCTTCTCAAAGCAGAATCAACCTTAAATGACAGGGATGTAGTAGAGCTTTCGGGACCTTCATTTGCTGATGTGGCACTACTCAAAATGAGAAGCTACAGATGCAAATATGCATTAATAATTAGAATGTGGGATGTATGAACTATGACTCAAGGAAAACTGAAAGCTGTCAAAAATAAAATGGAATGCTTGAAGATAGCTGCACTACAGAGCTGAAAAGGACTGCTGTTGGCCATTTGGAATCAGACAATCCTATGGTCTGCTATGTTGGGAATGACAAATTAAAGAGGAATGGCATTGTATTCATTGTCAGAAGGAACATTTCATGATCTATCCTGAAGTACTGGATAATGCTGTCAGTGTTAGGATAATATCCATATGTATACAAGGAAACCAGTTAAAATGACTACTATTCAAATTTACAAACCAGCGTTAATGTCAAAGATGAAGAAATTAAAGATTTTCACCAACTTCTGCAGTCTGAAATTCATCAAACATGCAATCAAGATGTATTGATAATTACTGGTGATTTGAATGCAAAAGTTGGAAATAAAAAAAATCAATAGTGGGAAAATGTGGCCTTGGTGATGGAAATGATGCTGGAGACTGCATGATAGAATTTTGCAAGAACAATGACCTATTCATTGCAAATACCTTTTCTCAACAACATAAATGGGAAATATACACATGGACTTCACCAGATAGAATACACAGGAGTCACATCAACTACATCTGTGGAAAGAGACAATGGAGAAGCTCAGTAGCATCCGTTAGAAAAAGGTAAGAGGCAGAACTGCAGCACAGACCATCAATTGCTCTAGGGAAGTTCAAGTTGAAGCTGAAGGAAATTAAAACAAGTCCACAAGAGCCAAAGTGTGACCTTGAGTATATCAGGATTTAGAATTTGGAAAGCATCATGAAAACAGATCTGATGCACTGAACACTAATAAATGAAGACCAGATGAGTTGTGGGATGACATCAAAGACATCGTGCATGAAGAAACCAAAAGGTTATTAAGAAGATAGGAAAGAAAGAAAAAAACAAAATGGGTGTCAGAAGAGACTCTGATACTCACTCTTGAACAGAGAGTAGGTAATGTGAATGGAAGAAATGATGAAGTGAAAGAACTGAAGATTTCAAAGGGTGGTTCGAGAAGACAAAGTGAAGTATCACAGTGAAATATGCAAAGACCTAGAGTTGGAAAATCAAAAGGAAAGAACACGTTTGGCATTTTTCAAGCTAAAAAAGCTGAAGAAAAAAATTCAAGCCTCAGGTTGTGATACTGAAGGATTCTATGGGCAAAATACTGCACAATACAGAAAGTGTCAAAAGGAGATAGAAAGAATACACAGAGTCATTGTGCCAAAAAACTGGTCAACATTCAACCATTTCAGGAAGTAGCATGTGATCAAGAACCAATGGAACTAAAGGAAGAAGTCAAAGCTGAATTGAAGGAATTGGCAAAAAACAAGGCTCAAGTAATTCATAGAATACCAACCGAAATGTTTCAAAAACGGATACAGTGCTGAAGGTGCTCACTCATCTATGCCAAGAAATTTGGAAGACAACTACTTTGCCAGTCAACCATAAGACGACCATAACTGTGCCCATTCCAAAGAAAGATCATTCAACAGAAGGCAGAAATCTGTGAACAGTATCATTAATATTACATGCAAGTAAAATTTTGCTGAAAATAATTCAAAATGTTTGCAGCAGTACGTAGACAGGGAACTACTAGAAATTCAAGCCAGATTCAGAAGAGGACATGGAATGAGGGATCTCATTGCTGATGTCGGTTGAGTCTTGGCTAAAAGCAGAGAAAAGCAGAAAGACATTTACCTGTGTTTTACTGATCATGCAAAATCATCTGACTATTTAGGTCACAATAAATTATGGATAACAATGGAAAAAATGGGAATTCCAGGACATTTAATTGTGCACATGTGTACATGTGCACCTATACATAGACCAAGAGGCAGTCATTCAAAGAAAACAAGGGGATATACTGCATGGTTTTAAATCAGGAAAGATCTGTGTCAGAGTTGTATCCTTTTATCACACATATTTAATCTGTATGCTGAGCAAATAATCCAAGATGGACTATATGAAGAGGAATGAGGCATTAGGATTAGAGGAAGACTCATTAACAATCTGTGACATGCCGATGACACAACCTTGATTGCTGAAAACCACGAGGACTTGAAGCACTGACTGAAGAAGATTGAAGACGACAGTCTTCAGTACGGATTATATACACCTCAACATAAAAACAAAAATCTTCATAACTGGACCAATAAGCAACACAATAATCAAACAACATACTGAATTGGGCAAATTTGCTACAAAAGATCCCGTTCAGATGTTAATAAGCAAACACGTCACTTGGAGAACATCATGCTTGGTAAAGCAGAGGGGTTAGCAGAAAAGAGGAAGACCCTCAAGGAGATGGACTGACCCAGTGCCTGCAACAATGGGCTCGAGCGCAGCTCGCACATTGAGAATGGTGCTGGACCAGGCAGTGCTTTGTTCTGATGCACGCAGAGTCACCAGAGTCAGAACCAACTCACCAACACCTAACAGCAACAATGGATAATATATGACTAAAATGTTGCCATTATGGTTTTAGACTGATATTTCCACACATTAATGTACTGACACTGCCCTTCTCCCTCCTAGTTTTCTTTTCTTTTAACTGAAAATATAAACCTAATAAAAAGAGCCAAACAAGAAAACAGACAAATATTTTCTCTGAACTTTATATACTAGGAGGATAGGGATTGCATTATGAGTTGAATTTAATTTCTATGTAGCTACTCTCTAATAGTGACTCACAAAGGTATCTTAATGAATGCTACATCCAATCATTTTACAGGCTAGATGCATTAAGGAAATATATAATTTGCATTTATATAGAAGCTTGGACATAAGGATATCAAAGCAATTTAAAACTCAGTTTGTGATAAATTACACTACAAAATATGTCTTAAGTTAAAAAAATAATAACAGCACTGACAACACCTTATTTTGCTCAGTGTTTGCGAGCTTACAAAGGACTTTTCATACTTATCTCATTACACTCTCAGTGCTTTGAATATAATTGGTATTGTCCCCATTTTAAATATGAGGCAACAAAGTCTGAGAGACTGGAAAGGTAAAATAAGTGTCATGAAAGATATAATAACATAGTCCTCGAATGTTTAAACAAGAATGATAACATTCAGGTGCAGCATTTATAAAAGGCTTAACAGGCAAGGTCATATTTGAACTGGACCTTAAATGACAAACAAGCTTCCAGTTCAAGGTGGTGGATTAAACAAATATACTAGCCTGTCTACCCAAATAATATCCACTCACAATATTGATATACCAGAGAATAAATTCGTAATAGGCTAGGAAAAGGAATATTTTCTTCTTCCCACCCAATAAAGCCACAGTAAGACTCTAAACTTGGGGCCAGAGAGTGGCAATGTGCAGAAATTAAGGTGTTACATTTGAAGACCTGTATATAGAATGACTGTGCAAGTACCACCTTCCTACATCCTGCTCCATTTACCCTGTGCTTTTACCTGCAAGTTAAAAGCAGAGAAACTGCTCTCTGAAAATACAAAACCACATGCCTGTCCTAGTGTTAATGCTGATGCCCCAGAATAAAACCCTCCCTGCTTTGGGTTGGATGACAGGCTGCGGCTGGCTGGCTGCTGACACCCTTAGGAGTACTACAGTGCAGTGAATTGCTTGGTGTGGCCCTTCTAGCCTCGGTCTTTGTAACTTCCACCAGATGACTGGGTGGGACTAGGCACATGTGAGGTGCTTGTGGCCCACCAAGAGGACTGCATAGCTTGTTAATAATGTAAATAAAGTGCATGGCACCCTTATGGGGATGAGACTATGCAATTACGGTACATGAAATGCTAACATAGGGATGGGTCAGTTTGGCCATTTGCTAGGCTTCAAATGAGCCATTCAGAGGCAGAAAAGGGGGATCTCACTATCATAAAGAAAGAAGAATCAGGAATGGAGCACATCCCTCGGACCCAAGATCCCTGTGCTGAACCTCCTTGATCCAGGAGACAGCTGTGACACCAGAGACAGTGAGACGTGATGAGAAACAGTGGCACAGAAACAGTGGCAGCAGAGGCAGGAGAACCAAGAGGCTGTCATGAAACAGCATGGTGGGTTTCCCGCCTATGGAGTGAGAAAGCTGAGTGTCTTCAGGCAGGAGGCTTACTGCAGAGGAAGGGGCCTCTGGGCATTTACTGGCAGAGCTAAGAGCTTTGTAACACTTGGCTGAGCAGGGCAGAAGCCAAGCGACCGCAGTGCCAGCAGCCAGAGACAAGAGGCTGTCCTGAGTAAAGAACTGTAGCCTGAACTGTTTCTGATCCTGAATTATAACCTGTTACTTCCCTAATAAACCCCATAATCATGGGTATTTTCTGTGAGTTCTGTGTGGCAAGTGTAATAAAGCAGAGAAGACAGTGCCGTGGAGGGACCAGTTGGGGTCAGAATTGGTAAGAGGTTGGAAGGTGGAGATATGCCTGACCTCCACCTCATAGGAATCAGTCTTGGGCTGTTGATGTTGATCTTGACCCTCCTCCTCCCTTGTGAAGCAGAGGAGGTCAGACCCCTCCCCACGTATTTTTACTGGTACTAAAGCGAAGCTAGCCAGGCACACTCTATCCCACATCTGCCCCTTATACCAATATCACTTCAAGTGAGACTAAGTGAAGAACAGGACTAGCTAAAGAGAGAAAACACATGCCAGCTACCCAGAACCTTCTAATCCTAAATTCCTAGCTATGAACAGACAATCAAGGACCACCAGACACTGGAGAAAATCTACACATAAGAGAAAAACCACAGAGGAATAAATATAGATCTAAAGTAAAATGAGATGATTTAAGGAACAGAAGAAAAACCCACTTTAAGGGAGAGGAAAGAAAGAGTTGGTAGCAATATAAAATATCACGACAGCCAAAAAATTCAAGAGATGAAAGCCAACATCAAGAAAATATCTCAGAACATAAAGCAGAAAGGATATAGTGATGGATAATCGAGAGAAAAATTAAATTTGAATGAAAATTAATCAGGGACATTGACCAACAGTTAAGACAGGTATTTAAGAGAGAGAACAAGTCAGGGGAAAAAGAAGGGAAGAATATTATCAAAGAAATAATAGAAGAATATTTCCTAGAGCTGGAAAAAAAAAAGATATAATTTCAGAACATTAAGTTAGATAAAAAATACTGAAAGTTTCAGAGACAAAATAAATTACCTATTAAGGAACAAAAATTGATTTGGCATCAGAGTTCTTATTAAGACACAGAATCTAAAAACATAAAGGCCTAATCTACAAATGTGATTAAAAGAAATTGCAGGATAATAGTTGCGCAGACAGGTCAGTCTAAATGAAGGCAGGAAGTCAGACAGGTGTGAGAAAAATGACTTCAAGAAAAGAGAATTATCTATTGCAAGTATCATAAGGTTCTGAGATAGAGGGAGGCTAAAAAGTAGAGAAAAACAGGGGTGTTAATTCCCTTACCTTTCCTACCACCCCATCCTCTTCCCCACCCACTGCCATCAAGTCGGACCCGACTCATAGCAACCCCACCTTGAGTTTCCGAGGCGGTATCACTACAGAAGTAGGTTGCCCAGGTTTCCTTTCGTGGAGTGGCTGCTGGGTTTGAACCACCAGCCTTCTGGTTAGCAGTCAGATGCCTTAGGCACTATGCTACCAGAGCTCCTTCACCTTTCACAGTGGGAAATTATTTGATACCGTCTAAAACTGATGGGTAAGAAGTTGAGGTTCTTTTGTGTATATAAACATTGGAGACCCCCAGGGAATGATTATAAACTCTCTCCTCTTTTCTCTCAAATCTCACTTAGTGATCTCATCTACTGTCACATATTTAAAAACCCCTTTAATGTTAACTACAACTAAGTACCAGATCCCTCCTCCAGGTCACTTGGTATCTCCACTTGGATAATGCATTGCTCACTTAGCATGCCCAAACTGTCCTTACCCCAAATGCCTACTAGTCTTCCCCATCCTATAAATGAGAATACCATTCGCTCTATTCAAGCCATATACCTAAATTATTTTTAATACCTCGCTTCTCTCTTCCACGGCCATTCTGTCACAGGAAGTCCCTCAAGTTACCACTAAGATGCACCACAAATTCATGTCCTGCTACTACTCTTCGTTACGATCACGGTCACCTCTCTCTTAGCTACAGAAATTGTACAGAATAACCTCTCTGCTCCTCATCTCTCCCTTCTGTAGTATACATGCCACTGAGGAGCAAAAAGCAATTTGATAAAGTATCTCCTCACTTTTTGGAAAATCCTTCAATGTCTTAGCAAAATATATAAAATAAAACCCAAACTCTGTATGATGGTCTATAAGGCCCCACACTGAAAAAGAAGGGTACATCCATCCCATTTTACAGGTTCATGTTTAAGTTGTTTTTTTTCTTAAATAAATTCATATACTTGTGTACATCTATGGAAGATGGTCTGGTAAGCTATACAACAAACTGCTAATTGTGCTTACCCCTGGAAAGTAATAGAGAGCAGGGAAGGGAGAAAAGCACTTCCCTTTTAACTGTTATACAACTCTATTAATAATCTATTTATCTAGTAACATACAGTTACCAGGCATTTCAATTATAATAAGACTATGAAGCTGATATCTCATAAAAGCAATTGAAAGATTAAGAAACCAAAAAAAAAAAGATAAAAACCCACAGCCATCTAGTTGATTCTGACTCACAGCAATCCCACTGGGTCTCCAAAGCTATAAATCTTTATAGAGAGAGTGCCTCATCTTCCTCCCATGGAGCATCTGGTGGGTTTGAACTGCTGACAAACGCCTTACCCATTATGCCACCAGAGCTTCTTAAAGATTAAGAAAAGCTCACTTAAGTATACTGAACTATAACATGCTTTGTTGTTGTTGTTGTTATGTGCTGTCGAGTCAGACCCGACTCATAGCAACCCCTCCTTGGGTTTCCGAGGCAGTATCACTAAGGAAGTAGATTGCCCCATCTTCCTTCCGAGGAGTGGCTGGTGGGTTTGAACCGCCAGCCTTCTGGTTAGCAGTCAAGTGCCTTAGGCACTACGCTACCAGAGCTCCTATAACATGCTTTACAACAGATTAAAATATTACCTCAATTTTTGTTTAGCTTTTTCAAAAGTTTCCAAATTTTGAAGAGCATGCCTTTCTGGCCATTCCATAGGATTGGTTTCCATTAGACTTGAAGAATCAGGTTCCACTGGGATAGTATCTAAAGAAAAAAAAATACACAAGTACTAAAAAGTATTAACATGCTCAATTTTGCTACATAATACAAACATAAATCTACATATGTATGTTTACATTGGGAGCTCTGGTAGCATAGTGGCTAAGGCACTTGACTGCTAACCAGAAGGCTGGCAGTTCAAACCCACCAGCCACTCCTCGGAAGGAAGATGGGGCAATCTACTTCCGTAGTGATACTGCCTCGGAAACCCAAGGAGGGGTCGCTATGAGTCGGGTCCGGCTCGACGGCACATAACAACAACAACAACAACAATAACCAGAGCCCATTCTGAAATTGCAAAGCTATGCTGCTTCTCACTTATTGAACACATCCCCCATTTATATAACAACATGTTTACATGAGTGTATATAAAGGCTTCTTAGATTAATTGCACTGCACTTACATTAAGTATTTCTTAAGTACTTATTAGTTTGTCGCACTGTGGTGGCTTGCATGTTGCTGTCATGCTAGAAGCTGTGTTACTGATATTTCAAATACCAGTCGCATTACTCATGGTGGACAGATTTCAGTGGAGCTTCCAGACTAAGGCAGACTAGAAAGAAAAGCCTGGCTACTTAAGAAATCAAAAACAAAAACTTTGCTGGCATCAAGTCGATTCCAACTCATAATGACCTCCCCTCCTTGAGTTTGCAAGGCTATGAAGTAGATCGTCCTATCTTCCTTCAACAGAGCAGCTGTTAGGTTTGAACCACTGATGACCTGGTTAGCAGCCAAATGCCTTACCCACTACACCACCAGAGCTCTGAAAATTGTTGATAAAAATCCTATGGATCATGACAGAATTTTGCCCAATATAGTACTGGAAGGTGAGCCCTCTAGGTTAGAAGACACACAAAATACACCGTGGCCTCAACAATGGCCGAGCATAGCAGTGATCACGGAGACAGCACAGGCCCAGGCAAGGCTTTGTTCTCTTCTCCACGCAGTCGCCATGAGTCTGAGCCAACTCAACATCAGCTAACAGCAACACACGTTCTCCATTTCTGCTCGTCTTCCTTTACTTGAAAATACACAATACACATCTTTGCCAGGCCAAAAAATAAATATATATATAAACACAAATCTACACCTAACAACAACAAGAAAGCCTCTCTGATGATCTGAACTATGAAAAATGCCGTCAAAATGTTGGAAATCATTAAAACAAACAAACAAACAAAAAACAGTGTTCAGGTTAATTTATTTCACTATGTCCTCATAATAAAATTCATGAGCTAAGAATCAGAAAACTGAATTAAGCATTATTAGCATTCATGTTGTAGAGAAGCACAATTTTGCTATTTTTAGTGAAATTAGCTCTATATGAAAAAGAGGCCACTTTATCGGGTCTATTATGTGATTGTCATACTGGAAACAGAAATTAGTAACAACATCCAGAAAAATTCCTCATCTTTTAGAAAGACTGCTCAATCATCTCATTCAAAACTTGTTTTTGTTGTTAGGTACCATCAAGTTGGTTCTAACTCATAGCGACCAGTGTACAAGAGACTGAAACATTGCCCATTTCTACACATTCTCAAAAGTACAGCAATACAAAAAATAAGTAATTTATGATGGCCTGGGAAAGACTCTTTGAGAAAGTGACATTTGAGATGTGAAGAATGACTAGGAGTTGATCAGGTGAAAAGTGGGTTAAAACATTCCAGGCAAGGCAAATTGCACGTGGAAATGTCCTAAAAAGAAAAGGAATGGAATATGTTCAAAGAACAAAAAGATCCTCTGCAGTCATAAGGAAACAGAAATACATTACTGGAAAAAGATAACAGTGCTAGGCTGGGTATCAGGATTCTTGCAAACCACATTAAGGATAATTTCTATGTGCAATGGAAAGCCACCAAAAAGATTTTAGCAAGGAAGTGACATAAGCTGATCTGCATTTTAAGATGAACACGCCTAGAGCTCTATGTGTTAATCATGCACTGGAACTTGACGTTACACAAGTAACTATAAGATACATTCCCATAAACTTATTGGAAAAGTCTTGCAATTATTTGGCCCTTCTTATCTTTTAACTCTTATGTCCTATACAAATCCTCTGTTTAAGCCACACTTTCTCTTGATCTAACTTTGTCTGTTCTTTTCTCAAAGGCTCTAAGTATGTTGTTTCTTCTACCTAGAAAACTTTATCTTCTCCCTACACAGATCATATGCATCACCCAAAGCCTCCATCAAGTCCTTCTGCTTCTAACAAAGCCTTCTGTGACTATTTTATGCTCAGTCATAGCCTTTTCCTTCAAATTCACATTTATTTATTTAGCCAAGAAATATACAGTACCTGCTTCATGGGAGGTAACTTTCTAAGCAATTTACAATTCACTTATTTCATAGCATCTATTTCATCCCTGGAAGTTCTGGTAGCAAAATGCCTAAAGCACTTGACTGCTAACCAGAAGGCTGGAGGTTCAAACTCACCAGCCACTCCTTGGAAGGAAGGTTGGGCAATCTACTTCTGTAGTGATACTGCCTCAAAACTCAAGGTGGGGTTGCTATGAGTCAGGTCTGACTCCATGGCACATGACAACAATAACCAGAGCCCATTCTGAAATTGCAAAGCTATGCTGCTTCTCACTTATTGAACACATCCCCCATTTATAAGTAACCTTATACTGTCTCCAACATCTTTGATATTACTCCATACTGCTACTTAACTTTATAACTTTGGTACTGATTTATAACAATGATAATAATACAAATGATAGCTAAGACCTTTTTGGCATTTATTATGTTCTAAGTACTTTCCATGTATCAACTCATTTATTCCTCATAATAATAGGAGTAGGCAATATTATCACCTCATTTTAAACACAGGAAATGATGACAGAGAGAAAGTAACTTGCACAAAGACATGCAGCCAACAAGTGGCAGAAGTGAGATTTGAACCTTGGCAGTCTGGCTCCAGAGCCTATGCTCTTGAACACGGCACTATATATCGTATTTACATCTTGCTTTCCAAATAGATCATTGGCCCCTTGAAAGCCGAGCACCAAATTTTTCACTTTCCTTTTTTTTTAACTTTCTTTTTCAGTGTTGAACACAGAAAAGGCATTCAACAAACACTATTACTAACTTTACTCCTGTCATTTTCTCATTTACCTATGGAATAAAAATGGTTCTCACTGAAGACAAATGAACAGTTGCTGTGTACATTTAATAATGCATCCAGAAGTTCCTGAATTTTTCTTAAGATTTCAAAAGCTTAATTCTATTCAAATTCATGACAATAATAGAAACCATGAAAACAGGAAAAAATGAAAGTAAATACAAAAACGAGTTCCTGCTTTTCACCAGTGAAGTTTGGTGACTGTTCCTGGCATAATGATTGGCAAATAGGGAGCATCTTAAGACAGTAGTTTTAGCTATATTAACCTTACAGTGCACATTTGACTCTTAGTTTATGAAAACAAAGCTTAACAGAAATTCAATAATTGTAGCAGCTTAGGAGTTGTAAGAGAGAGATCACTTTAAAATGCTCCTCCCTCTTCTCAAAAACAGTTAACCCTGAACACACTTAATGCAAGTTAACAGAATGTTTAAAATGATGAGAAACACAGCTCATTTTATACACACCTACTCCTCATTTACTGACTACCTCATTATCTGACATTCTGCATTTATAAACACGGTAAAAGATCTACTGTCCAACTATTTTGCACGTTAACACATGACTGGCAGTAACAAATGCCAAGGTGGGAGGAAAGAGTAACACTGGCTGTGAGAGTTACGGTTACGTGTCAACTTGGCTGCACCACGATTCTCAGTGGTTTGGCAGTCATGTAATGATGTGGTATCTTCCATTTTGTGATCTGATGTGGTTATTCTCCATTTTCCCGTAACACTGATTTCCACATAACAACCCTGTCTTTGGAACCTAATCACGTACATAAGTGAGGAGCAGGAAGACATACACACTTGCATGTATAAATATCTATCATTACTTAATTCTATAAAATATATTTTGATTTGACCAATACACTTTATAGATGTCACATACAAAACAAGCTCTGAAATTTAAAATAAACTTACCATGTAGAATGGTTTTAGGGACAGAAGCATTAAACTGATCTACGAAGTGCTCCCTTGTGAGTATTAACAGAGTTTTGAGCTCTTCAACAGAAACTGCTTCAGGTTCCTTTGTCAACGTTCTCCTTTCTGCAAGACAACAAATCAATACAAGTAACCATATTATGACCTTTATTTTAAAGTCTTTCTAGATCTCATCTACTACTTTTTTATGGGAAATACTTTTCAAAAGTGACACAAGTGAATTTTTGCACCAAATTAGCATTTCTGTGTAGGCCTGCTTTCATCTCAATTCCAACTGCAGGTATGTGAGTTAAACAAATAGAAAGGAATTTGTTCATACCAAAAAGTTGATAAATGGTAATAAGTTTATAAAAATATAAAAATATATAATGTAGAAGAGCATTAAAAAGGCCTCATGTTAGTGGGTTATGGGAAAAATAAAACCTTTTAAAACTTCCAGTTAAAAGTGGCAGCTTGGCCATTTCGATTCATTTATTCTTCCCCAAACTTACTCACAGAAAAGGAAAATAATGCAAGTTAACAGAATGTTTGACAACAAAAGGAAAAGACAGGTACAGCTTTCAGCAAACTTTTGGAAGACAGAAAGATGATGGCCAATGGCAGCTGAGTCAGCAGAGCAGAGGAGGGGCATCACCAAGGAGGCATCAGAAAGGTGGCCGGGAGGCGCTGGGCTAAGCACAGGCCTGCAGCTCCCACGCCACCTTCCCGCCTTCGGAGTCGGGCAGCTCTGCTCTCCTCCTTGGTGGAGCTTGAAAGAGGCGAGTCCCAGACTCTGGAACATCAAGCACCGTGGTAGTGAGCCTGGGTCAAAATTAAAGAAGTAAACAAAAGTCTATATACCAAAAGGTCAGATTCCCTGTAGTGACTCTAGGAAGGTCATAACTTAAATGTTAAATTGCCACCCCACCAATCTACAGCAAAGCTTGCTAGATAATAAATTAGAGTTGATCATGTAATACTTGTAACTTAAAACAGAATAGACAGATTCGATGGATATTTAAAGATAGCTATAGGAAGCTGTAGGGGATATTCATTACCCTGGCTTATTTTTACAAGTGCAAGGACTTCAATTGCAGCAACACTTCCAACTCCCAAGTCCCCAGACCCACCACTTACTTAGTCTGGAGAAGGAACTAGGCATGTTCTGATCAGCCCCTTCCTCTCTGCCTTTTATCTGAGCTAGCCTGTATTCAGCTCTGGTAGCATAGTGCCTAAGGCACTTGACTGCTAACCAGAAGGCTGGCGGTTCAAACCCACCAGCCACTCCTCGGAAGGAAGGTTGGGCAATCCTACTTCCGTAGTGATACTGCCTCGGAAACCCAAGGAGGGGTCGCTAAGAGTCGGGGCTGACTCGACGGCATATAACAACAACAACAACAGCCTGTATTCAGGATGTAAGCTCTCTACAACGTGGTAAATGGTCTGCCCTGCAGGGTTGGTCTGCAGTTGTCCAGCTCTGACGGTCCACGGCAACGTTTAATTCTGGATGTAAGTACGAGAAAGCTAATATAAAACCCATAAATCCAAAAAGCCACATCCTTAAATCAATCTTTTATTTGCAATTTATCTCTATCTGCTTGTATTCATGTCAAAACTAATGACTAATTTAACCAAAATTCATGAATTCATTGTAAGGGGTAGAAGGGAAAGTAAAGATGATGTGGAAAAGTGAATTCTTTATCACCCGTAGGGGGAAGTTAAGATAATGTCTGAATCTGGTAAGTCACGAAATAACAGCAGCATTCGTTAGCGAGACAATCTCATCCCCATGTAATGCATTTTGGCCCTTTGTCGAAGATAAGCTGTCCATGTTGTTGTTGTTGTTGTTAGGTGCCGTCGAGTCGGCCCCGACTCATAGCGACCCCTCCTTGGGTTTCTGAGGCAGTACCACTACGGAAGTAGGATTGCCCAACCTTCCTTCCGAGGACTGGCTGGTGGGTTTGAACCGCCAGCCTTCTGGTAAGCTGTCCATAGGTGGATGGATTTATGTCTGGGTCCTCAATTCTGTTCCATTGGTCTATGTGTCTGTCCTTGTACCATATCAGGCTGTTCTGACTACCGTGGCTTGTATACTAGGTTCTGAGATCTGGAAGTGTGAGGCCTCCTTTTGTTCTTCTTCAGTAGTGCTTTCTTTATCCAAGGTCACTTTCCTTTCTATACAATTAGTTTTTCCAACTCTTTAAAGAATAGTGATGGAATCTGGATTGGGAATGCATCGTATTTATAGATCACTTTAGGCAGTACTGACACTTTCACAATGTTAAGTCTTCCTATACATGAGCATGGGAGTTCTGGTAGCGTAGTGCCTAAGGTATTTGACTGCTAAGTAGAAGGCTGGCGGTTCAAACCCACCAGCCACTCCTCGGAAGGAAGATGGGGCAATCTACTTCCATAGTGATACTGCCTCGGAAACCCAAGGAGGGGTTGCTATGTGTTGGGTCCGACTCGACAGCACATAACAACAACAACAACAACAATACACAAGCACGGTATGTTCTTCCGTTTATGTAGGTCTATTTTGGTTTCTTGCTGTAGTGTTTTGTAGTTTTCTTTGTATAAGACTTTTACAAGCCTGATGAGATTTATTCCTAACTATTTCCTATTTTAGGGGCTATTAAAAATAGAATCATTTTTCTGATTTTCTTTTCAGAGTTCTCTTCACTAGTGTAGCGGAATCTGAATTACATGCTACCTTATACCCTGTCACTTTGCTGAATCCTCCTATGAGTTCCAGTAGTTTTCTTGTAGAATCTGTAGGATTTTCAATGCATAGGATCATACATTCTGCAAATACAGAGTTTTACCTCTTCCTTACCAATTTGGAAGGAGATTTGACTGCTAACCACAAAGCTGGCGGTTCAAACCCATCAGCCACTCTTTGGGAGGAAGATCGGGCAATCTACTTCCGTAGAGATATCACCTCAGAAACCCAAGGAGGGGTCTCTGACACGATGTTGAGGGGTCTCTGACTATGCATTGGATCTGACTCGACGGCAGTAAATTTTTTTTTTTCTGGTGGCGTAGTGGAAAAGGTATTTGGCTGCTAGCCAGAAGGTCAGTGGTTCAAACACACCAGCCTCTTTGTGGAAGGAAGATGGGGCAATCTACTTCTGTAAAGATCTACAGCCTCAGAAACCTAATGGGGGTCGCTGTGAGTTGGAATCAACCTTGATGGCAGTGAGTTTTTGTTTTTGTTTTTTTACCAATTTGGATGCCTTATATTTCCCTTTCTTGTCTTATTTTTGCTCGGACTAGGACTTCCAGTACAATATTGAGTAAGAATGGTGATAAAGGACATCCTTGTCTGGTTCCCATTCTCCAGGAGAGTGCTTTGCAGTCTCTCTTTGTTGAGAATAATGCTGGATGCTGGTTTTGTGTAGACGTCCTTAATTATATTGAGGAATTTCCCTTCTATTCTTGTTTTGCAGAGTTTTTATCAGGAAAGATGTCTGAATTTATCAAATGCCTTTTGTACATCAATTGATAAGATCATGTGGTTCTTTTCCTTTATTTATGTGGTAGATTATGTTGATTGATTTCCTAATGTTGAGCCATCTTTGCATTTCTGGTATGAATCCCACTTGGTCATGGTGTATGACCTTTTTTTTTTTTTTGATACTGTGTTGGATTCTATTGGCTAGGGCTTGAGAATTTTTCATCTATATTTATGAGAGATATTGGTCCATAGCTTTCTTTTCTAGTGGGGTCCTTGCTTGGCTTTGGTATCAGCATTGTTCCTGCTTCATAAAATGAATTTGGGAGTATTCCATACATTTCTGTGCTCTGGCATAGTTTGAATTGGATGATGCCAGCTTTTCTCTGAATGTTTGATAAAATTCTTCAATGAAGCTGTCTGGGCCAGGACTTTTTTTTTTTTTTTAAATGATCTCCCCAATTTGTTCTTTTGTTACGGATCTATTCAAATTTTTTATCTCAGTCTCTGTTGGTTTAGATGGGTAGTATATTTCTAGAAATTTGTCCATTTCTTCTAGGTTTTCAAATTTGTTGGAGCACATTTACTCATATTGTTATTATCCTTTTGATTTCAGTTGGTTTTGTTGTAACATCACCATTTCATTCTTATTTGTGGTATGTGCATCTTCTCCCTCTTTTCCTTTGTTAATTTTGCCAGTGGTTTGTCACTTTTATTAATGTTTTCAAAGAACCAACTTCCAATCTTGGTGATTCTTTCAGCTGTTTTCTTCCATTTATTTCTGCTCTAATTTTTATTATTTTGTTTTTTTCTGGTGCCTGTGGGTTTTGTTTGTTTGTTTGTTTGTTCACACTCTTTCTCTGTTTTTTTGGAGCTGAAAGGTTAAAGTGTTGATTTGGTTCTTTCTTCCATTTTGATGTGTACATTTATTGCTATAAATTGACCTATGACCAGTGCTTTTGCAGTGTCCCAAAGGTTTTGGTATGTTGTGTTTTCGTTGTCATCTGATTCTACAAAGTTTTTAATTTTTATTTTTTTATCCCTTCTATTACTCAGTGTTTTTAAGTGGGGTATTCAGTTTCCATGCTTTGATTTTTTTTCCCTTGTCCTTCCTGTTATTGATTTTTAATTTCATATTGTTGTGATCTGAGAGACATTTTGTATTACTTCAGTGTTTCTTAATTTATTCAGGCTTGCTTTGTGGCCTAACTATGGTCGATTCTTGAGAACGATCAACTTGCTAAACGTGTCCTATCCTGTTGCTGGGTGCAGTGTTCTGCTTACACCTGCGAGATCAAGTTGGCTGCTGGTGTTGTTCAGGTCTTTTGGATCTTTGCTGAGTTTCATTTGTTCTGTCCTTCATCAAAAGTGAAGTGTTAAGGTCTCCTATTATTATTATGAAGTTATCTGTTTCTTTTTTCAATTCTGTTAAAGTTGGTTTTATGATTATGGAGCCCTTTCATTTCGTGCATCAATATTTATTATGGTTATGTTCTCTTAATGGACTGACCTTTAAATATTATATAATGTCCTTCTCCTCTTATGCTAGTTTTTGCCTTAACGTGTATTTTATCAAAGATTAATTTTGCCACTTCAGCTATTTTTGGTTGTGCTTTTCTTTTCTTTTTTTATTTTTCCCCTTGTTTGATTTTTAGTCTTTTTATCTTTCTGT